CTAGGGACGCTGTTCCTGCTCCTTGTGATCGTAGAACTGGAGATTCCCTTCTCGGTGCTTTCGTGTGTAGGTTCCCCGACCTATTGTACACCTTTTAACTTTTTACCTATATTTTCTATTCTACAGTTAGGCCTTTTTACATATATTGCTTAACTTGCGGTATTCCTTGTGTTAATAAGCTAAAGCAATCCTAAGGTTAGTGTTCTATATATCTGGCAAGATAAGATAACATCCTGCTGTGAGCTTCTACCTTGACTTGTTTCGCTTCAGCAGGTTCTTAGTTACCTTTTGGATCTTACTTTGTTTGCCTGGCTGGCGCATCCCTAAATTCCTTTCTTGGGGCCCATTCCTCTTATCACTTCCTTCTTGGCCCTGGTTAGTATCTCCTCTCTTTGAAGTGTGCGTGTCAGTGTAGAGCAAGGACAAACAAACAGGCGACGCCAGCTGCGCCCACTGCTTAGTAAGAAACTCCCAGTCTATCAGTGATTAGTCTTTTTTAGCTTCTTTGTTTCACCACCCCCCCCTTTTCTAAGTACTAAGTAAATTCTTTTACTTAGAATATTTCTCTAAAGTTTTCTGAATATATTGGCCCTATACCTTTTACATATGGTTTTATTCAGGGTTTAATGAACAAACTCATATGCAGCCTTTTACAATGTGACCACTAAAAGTGAGGAATCTTCATAAGTGCCCTTTTCTTGTGACTTTTTTATTTTGTATGATATATGCTCCCAGTTCCACTACAGAAGTATTCATTGCCCATTGAATTCTGAGGTTGGTAGTTGTGAATGCCCAGGGAATGACATGTGTAACCCTTCAGAAAGTGGTTTTGTTCGAGTTGTGATAACGAAAACCGGTATAAGAGTTGCAGTGAAAGGGAAATATTCATAGGAGAACAGAAGGAGAGGGAAAGTGATGCACATTAACAAGTGGACTCATTAAAACAATCCTGATGAAGAAACAAGGGACTGGAAAAGGAACAATGATGGTTTGAATTGCAAAATGTAAAACACCGCAAGGGATGCAGCAAGTAACTGGTGATAAAGACCACTGTGTCTACTCAGAGTAATACTTCAGGATGTCCCTAAAACATGGGCCTGAGCACTACCCTGGGCAGGATTATTGCTGTCAAAAACCCAACTTGTTTTGTTTATTTTTGAACTGTTAAAAAATTCTCACAAGTGACAAAGGCCAGTGAATATACGACATTTTGTAAAGCATCTATATAAATTTTTTTCCTTCACTTCTAGCACAAGTACAACAAAAAGAATGGAGGAGGAGAAGGAGAACTCAGAAGAGCAACTTACAGAACCTGAATCAGATTTACCAGATGTCTTACTAGAATTTCAGTAGGTTTAATATATTTTAACTTTTGACTCATGTCGAATATGTGAATGAAAGAAGCAGATAGCAAAGACAACTTATTAATTTAGAGCCTGAGCTGACTGCTTTGGGTTTTCAAGGGTATTTTGGAAAGGTACTTTTTTTAAACTATGGCTGTAAGAAGACATTTAAATGGGTCAGAAATAATTTTATGTCATTAAGCTATAACTTGGGAAAAAAGGTTTATTCAAACAAAAATATTTGATTTTTTTTGTTAATAGCAAGCTTTTGATTAGCATATGTTGAAGTTGCAGGGCTGTATTTTTTAGGATTCTTTGGTGCTCATGGAGTTTTGTTGCCACTAGTCAGAATCTCAAGACAGACAGTTTGCTTCTTCCCTTGGTGCAGCTGAGAGCAGAGGACAAAGCGTTTTATTCTGAAAGCAAGAGAGGAGTAACTTAAAGTTCTCTTAAAATCAGCAGAGAATAAGAGCCAAGGGGGGGATATCTGAAGCAGTTAAAAACTAGACCAATTTATTTGATCAACAGTCTCTTGAGTAGGTGATTAAAAGGAGAAAAAAATAAGCTCCATGACTTTTATCCAAGAAACAAATTGAAACAGCAAAACCTCAGCAACATCCAATATTCAAAAATTATCAGCATTTAGGGGGCAAGAAGTAGTGCCTTGGTGTGGAAATGAAAATTTGAGTAAGCAAACTGAAGAGTAGCCACATATAGTTGTAGTGAAATGTATAAGAGTTCACAGGGTTTATGTGGTATTTTCCCTTTCACTTTACGGAGAGCAGAGTAAAGTTTTCCGTAGTGAAAGAGCCAAGATTTACCTGAATCATATCACAAATAAATACAAAAAGCCAGCAAACCAATCTGTCTAGTTTGGTAAGGAACAAGCAAACTGTATTACTAGGCTGAGAAAAAATACTGTACCACTTACTGATAAAATTATTGTTATGCATATTCAAATATACAAGCACATGACTCATTTGTCTGTAGAGTCCTCCACTGAAATGGGTGCTGAACTGACATGGAGTATGTAGTTTCTACAGCAACAGTAAGAGAAAAAGGAAAGAAAAGTATTTTTCTTGCTGGTTTTCTTTCCTCCCTTCTCTTTTCTTTCCCTCTTGCTCTCCCTTCCCATCTCCTCACCTCTGTAATCGATGACTTCTTTGTACCACTTGACTGAGCAAAACAGCATAATCACACAAGTGAGTATCTGTCCCATTCCACTTTAGGATTTATCAACTGTGTAGTATTTATTTAACTTCCATTCCTGTTTGTAAATCAATACACTGAAGAATGGTCAGTGTTCATAGGCGGTTTGTTATTTTTCATTTTCTTTATAGTTTTCTATTTCAAGATTGGTTAGAAAGAACAATCTTATGATTTACTTGCCTTAGTAACATCCTATAGGACTGACAGAGCTGTCACAGTACTGCAGGGAAGTGTTAGTAGATGATTAAATCACCTAGATGAAACCTAGCATGCAGAGTTGAGAAAAATAGTGTCAACCCGGCTGTTTTGTAGCTTTAATCTGACAAATACCATAGGAAAATAATCTAAAGGGGAAAGTTCTAATGTGTAGCAGACAGAATAGCAAATTCTACTTGTTTACAGTTTGACATTAACAAGGTGATGGATATATTAGTAGGAAATCTTAAAGCAGCAGAAAGTAAGATGAGCAACAATAATCAAAATACAGAAATGGTTTAAAATGGGAGGTAGTTTAGGAGAACACACTGTGTGGCCAAGCTTGTCACACCAAGCTGTGACACACTTCCTCTAGCCATGACCACCATACCCCATATCTCTGCTCTAGTCTCTCTAATATTCCAGTACTTAACAAAAAACCTGAAGAATACCTTGGAGCACACTGACACAAGAGGATGCAAATCTATTAACCTGCAATTGGCATGATTCAGTGATCCAAACTTAGCAACTTAGTCAGGAAAAAATTATCTTCTTTTAAAGCAACTTAATACAATAGAGAGGGGAAAAAAATAAAACCAAGCCAAGAACAGAAGGAACAATAGCAGTTGAAAGAGTGAAAGATACTGTGATAATTGTAATACTTGCCTCTACTGTGCCATATGGTGAATGAATTCTGGGAACAGAGAGAAAAATTACAGAGAATGTGGCAAACAGGCACCATTTGCAACCTTGTATTTCTCATTCTAAAAGACAGTCAGAAGGAAATACTTATTTTACAGCTATGGTAAAGAAAATGACAAGTAGTCTATCAAAATTGTGAAAGCAGTGAGCTAGTTCCTCGATTAAAAACAGAGGATACTACTCAGGCTGGAATCCCTATTCCCTTAGTGCTTCTTAAAGGCCTACAAGTTCTTGGTGCACAAATATAGTTTATGAAGTTTGACAAACCACATTTTCAGAAGAATTGAGTCGCATTTAATTCTCCAGTTTGGGATTCATCTGACCTATGTCTGAGTGAGTTGCCTAGACTTCCTCTGTAGCTAGTGATGAGTAATATTTCTGGGGCACAAAAAAAGAGACCTATGTAATAGGTCAGCTAAACGACATGCAGGAAGAGTAAACCAGCTTAATCCTCCCTAGAGGTTGCAAAGGAACAGTATAACCAGGGAGTCTGTTCCTCTGTAGGAGTATGAGATCCAAACGAACACGAAGGTCCAGATATATATGAGAAATAATTTATTTCTGTGAGTAAGCAGACAGTGGTTTCTACCCTACTGAGTTCAGCAATACAATACAAAATAAATATTTTGGTAGTATTTAATTTTAATCTACCTTAAATAACATTCCTCTCTCTCCTCTTGTTGTAACAATGTCTCTTTCTTTACTATCTCTGCACAGACTTGAGAAGAAAGAAGCAGCAATTAATCAGGTTTTGCTTCATTTGAAACAACTGGAAGAAAAGAACAAAGAATATCATAAAAGAGTAAGTGACTATGCATCCTTCTCCCAACGCACTTTATATGTGGTATTTTAACTCACAGATTCAATTTTATTCCTTTAAACCTAATACTACATATGGTAAAACTAGTTATTGCAATGAATTTGTTACAGTCAATGAAACTAGAGTTAGTGAGTCACTCTACGTGCTAAAAGTGTTATCTGAATTAAATGTGACATATAGCATAAATGTCCTAAATATAACCATGCAAAAAAGGAGCTGCAGGAGCAGAATCTTGCAGAGTAGGACACTGCAGTAAGGAAAAGTGAGTTCAGTGAATGTGTTTTCCAACGCACACGTGATCCTCAGTAACAGCCTACGAATTGTACATTCAGATAGGCCTTTTAACCAATCCTGTAAATATTCCTCAATGTTTTGGTGCACAAAGAATAAATGGTATAAACTTCATTTTTGTCAGTAGTATTAGTAGATCTATCCAGGTGCTGAGTTTTGCTGACCTTCTTTGATTCACTTCTGAGGTAATGGAATTGCACAGGTTTCTATGAAAGTTTAGTTACCATTACTAACTTAGGTACAATGAAAACTGAACCAAGAGGAAAGATCATCACACAATGGACTAGCTGCAGTTTTTAGTACTGCTAGATGAAGACTCTGTCATGGATTAAGAGTTGTGTTGGATCATTTTTAGAAAAAGTTTGTGTAACCACTGATTGCACCTGAGTAACACTTTTACGAACTGTGTGTATGAGCCGTACACAAACACCCCTAACATGGCATCTGATGACTGCAAGCAGTGAGCTTTGAAATCATATATATGTATGTATGTATGTACAGTCAATTAAATTAATTCAAATTTCTCAAAAATCCTTGTGCTGGATCATGTTGCAGCCTGCACTTCCATCGCAGTGAAACACTGAAACAATGTCTGTCTGTCCTTCCCATGCCCAATGCTTGCCCTGTTTTTCTAAGTATCCATCTGTTTAGCTTTCTGTGGTGCTTCTTTCAGTCTTGAAGCCTGGATGGTGTTCCGTCTGTGGCATAACTATCACTGAAAGTGGCATTTGCTCTTCTTTCTGCAAGAGATCCGAAGGCTCTTATGGTTATTCCCCCAATTTGCTGCTAGTTCATGGTCCCTTGGGGACTTCTTCATGTTTTAGACTCTGCAGGGTACTTTATGGCATGCTTGAAGTGCTATTTGTTTCATTTATCCATGTTTTGACAGCACTTTGAGCTCCATT